ATCAGAGAAACAATCAGAAGAGTTAAAAACAAAAATAAATACCATCATTTTCATCATCATGACCACCATCACTATCGGATATATTGTAAATGTAAGTGTTTCATGCCCCTATCAACACAATTAAGGTAATCTAAGACTACTTCAACCACTTGTAAGAGCTAGCCAAGGCTGGGAGGGATAATAACATCCCAGCAGATAGAATAATAATAATAATAAACTTCAAAAAAATCTCCAATCCCTACTCTGAAGTCGAACTCACATTCTCTGCATGCAATGATAAAAAGCCCAAAATTTAGACCACAGACATAAGTGGTACTGTCAATAAGTTGACAATTTGTGAGGCAGCGTGGTAAAATCAGGCGATCGTCAAAATACAGAAATCGGAGAAACAGGCATTGTTCCGCCAGTTAGAAAATTTTTATCGAATTCTTTTTTTATGGCTAAACCTCTTTTATATCCATTAAAAAACACATTTACATGTGAATTTTACTGCAAAACATTGATTAAAGGCACAAAATATGTCATTTTTCTGTTTTCAAGGACTCTTTAGCTGTAGGAGTTACCAACTTTGGCGGACATTTTCTTGCTAATTTTACCACTGAAACGAGGCGACCTCACTTCCTTTAATCGCAAATATTTTGAGTTCTATTCAAGATAGATGGATATTTATTTCACTGGAAGCAAGGCAAATAAATCAACTTTTAGATGATAGACCTACCAATAAATCCACATGCCCAAAATTTGATTAGTGCCTGATTCTACTGCGTCGTGACAGATTTTATATTCCGAAATAAAGATAACATAGTTTCTTGAGCTGTGCAGGCTGTTGTGGACAAAGCTGTTAAGTTTTTGTTTGTTTCATCGTTATGAGGGAGATAATATGAAGTACTTAAGCATCATGTAGGCTACACCAATTGAGATACCTTGAAGGTGGAGCCCTCAAATAACTTAACAGTTGCTAAGAGGGAAATTTAAAATTCAAGGAATTATGAGAGAAATAATTGTTTGCTGGTTCAACTAGGATTCAAACACAAAATGTCAGGATTCAAACTAAAAAATGTCGGCGAGAATTTGTTACAATCTAAGTCACAAAGGTTGATAGTTCTAAAATATAGTAATAATAATAATAATAGTAATAAGAATAATAATCATCATCATCATCATCATCATCATCATCATCATCATCATCATCATCATCATCATCATCATCATCATCATCTTCTTCTTCTTTTTGTTGTTCTTCTTCTCATACCGTGTTAGAGCATAGGGAGTAAAAGACTGCAAGATTTTCATCTCAGAGTGCACCTGATTTTGCATACACTACCATTATAACTTCATATAAAGTAAAATCAACCAATGTTTACATGCAGTCACATGCCGTTTTCTAAGGCATTTTTTTATATTTACACTGACTCGAGTGGCTTTAGAAGAGCCAACACTTTTTGAATTTAGAACAAAGAACGGTTCTTTAATATGCAAAACTTTCACACTGGATCTCGGAAATTTGTGTTCCTACTCATCCTAATATAATATGGGGGTTTAGAAAACATGAGGAAAAAAACCTGACATTAGCAAGGATTGAACCTTGGACCTCTAGGTTTGGGTAAAACCATAGACCTACATGTTAAGCTACAGAGCCCACAAGAATAATAATAATAACGATTTTTTTAAAATGAAAAAGTAATAATAACAATAATAATAATAATAATAATAATAATAATAATAATAATAATAATAATAATAATATTCATAAAACAACCTGATAATATTAATAATAAATATTATTGTTTTAATATTTAAAAAAAATAAATAAATAAATAAATAATAATACTAATAATAATAATGATGATGATGATGATGATTATAATAATAGTAGTAGTGGCAATAATGATGGCGGTGGTAATATAACAAAGACAGCAGTAGCTGAATGATAATGATGATGATGATGATGATGATGATGATGATGATGATGATGATGATGATGATGATGATGATGATGATAACAGGCTGAAACAAAATGCTAAAATCATAACCGTTTCATTTCTTTATTGAAATCCTCTTTTATGCTGTATTATTAAATTATATCTGAACAGAATATAGTAATGTCACCCCACATTAGCGACAAGGAGACTTTTCAAGAATGACTCAAAAGAGGTAGAATGTGTTGTAGGGAAACACAACTGACCCTCAAAACTCCACAGAGCGAGGCTAACCTTGAAAAAAGACCATTAAAAAAATATAAACCAAACAACCCCAAAGCTATAAAAAAGGATTTCTGAGATTCAGGAATCTTTCTAAAATAATTAAGCTTTTTTTTAATAACAAGAATGTAAAAGGGTACATTTGGAAAGACATATTTGGGGGAGCATCTTGTTTACACTTCAAAGGGTTTGCTGAAAATATTATGACAAACATGAACAATATTACAAAGAAAACTGGTGGAATTCAGTCACGGTTTGAGCACCTCTATACAATAGTTGAAATGATAAGTTTTATCAAAAAAGTTAGATTTAACAACTCAGAGAAGAGCACCACAGTCTGTAATGAGCAGACCGACTTTCACTGCGAATACTTTCTTTCTGGTTTTGTGATTTATGTTGTTCACTTTTCATATTTGTCTATCTCCAAATCGTCTTTCAACCTCCTTCACTCATTTTCTTGGCTCATTGTCTCTTTGATTCTCTATCTCTGTCTGTCTGTCTGTCTGTCTGTCTGTCTGTCTGTCTGTCTGTCTGTCTGTCTGTCTGTCTGTCTGTCTGTCTGTCTGTCTGTCTGCAACATATTATGTTCAACAGAAGGAACACGCTTGCAGAAATGCAGAACACTCATTTAATTTTAAACATTTGATGATGATGGCAATGTTGGTCGACGACGATGACGATGACGATGATGATGATGATGATGATGATGATGATGATGATGATGATGATGATGATGATGATGATGAAAGTGATGATGATGATGATGATGATGATGATGATGATGATGATGATGATGATGATGATGATGATA